AAAAAAAAAAAAAAAAAAAAGAAAGGTCAAGAAACAGTTATTCTGAATGGAAATCAGTTCGTCAGTTTTTATAACATGGGGTTCTTCAGATCATTTTCGATCCACTTATAAACCAAGATGATGCCATGAAATATAACTGAAATCTGCAATCAAAAGGTAAGTGTCCTTGAGAAAGATGAGCTCCATTTCTTACTCTCTGGAATATAACACTGCTAAATTTTCTCTAAAGCCACTTCATCTTTTACAAATTCAAGAAAATTACTTCTTCAAACCCTTGTCAAGATATTGCGTTTCTACTGAAAGAGACTTCTAAGTACTATCATATAATTCAATAACAAATGCATTGATTAGTGTATGTCCTACCTGAGAGTTTAGAGCCTCATGACGATAGTCCCGTGTAAAAACACCGCACAGAGATTCACCGTTTGGCAGATTTTTGTTAAAACGATTCTCAACAGTTGCTGCCACCTGATTGACAAGGGCCTGAATGACAGGGAAAAATATCCATTGATCACATAATAAAGTACAGGGTAAACCTCAGAGAGAGGACAGGCACTGTCTAAAATTACGTACTGCTGGGAGGGCAGGAAGCTTCATCACCCCTTTCTCCTACCATCTGCCTAACCCACGGGCTGTCTTTGAGCGCTGTGACTACACGTGAACTCACTTATAACCTCAACCCAGTGTAAAATGGGAAAACCCGGCTTCATCAGAGGGAAAAAGCAGGAAATGTTGCCCACACATGACAAATAAACAGCTGATACCTGGGCGACCAAGGCTTAGAAAGAAACCGTGAGTCTATGTAGAACGGCCAAGGAGGGCAGCCGGGATGGACGTGTGGTTCTCGTATTTGGGGGCATCCCCAGACCTCTACCTGCGAGTGTACAGGGGACCCACATCCCGGACTAGGCAGGTGGTGGCCAGCGAAATCTGAGCGTGTGCAAACCTATACACATCTCTGTATTTCACACTCTGTGCCCAAAAAAGTCTCACCTAGATTAAAATGTAAACTTTAAAACATAAGCATAAAGATACTAGAAAATGGACATTTTCATATATTTGAGCACACTCGGAAACACTAAATGGAAATATTGATAGATCTGACTACACAAAGATATTAACAAAATATCATTAATATAACCGCAATATAGCAAAAAGATAAAATGACAAAAGTATATTGGTTATACTTTACAGAGAAAAAGTAATATACTTATTATACAAACTTCTGGCCAATCAATAAAAAGGCAATGCCCTTCCACTACAAGAAAAAGAAAATGGGCAGATGTCATGAACAAGTAGCTCATGATTAAAGAATTATCACTGCCCAGAAATCATACAGAAAGGCTCCCCAATCAGTGATCACAGAAATGCAGATTTATTATGAGATGGAAATTTTTACCTAGCGGTATGGCAAAAAATGTTTAAAGATCATAGGAATGTGGGAAAAAAAGAGGACATATATACTTCCATATACTGTCAGAGGGAATAAAAATGGATTTAAACTTTTAGAAGAGTAATTTGGCTTCTAAAACCTTTGGGTTCTAAAACTTTTAGAAGAGGAATATGTACTGTGTTGAATGACCAATTCCACCTCCAGTAAAAGCTTCATTTTTCTTGATATATTTGATTAATTTCCTGCTATGAACACTTACTGCTTTCATAACCGTGAAAAACGAAAAAGCCACGATCAAAACTGAAGTGCTAATTTCAACTAATCACGTTGATCAGTCTGGTTCTGAGCCCGATCCCAAGTCACTCAACGCCACATTTTCCTAGAAACTAAAATGGAGCGAGATCTCATTTTAATCTGTAGAATCAAAGTTCTCCCAATTCAATCTGCCTTTCTTAAGAGTAATCGCATTAAAAACAAGGGGTTGTAAACGAGGATATGCAAACTTACACTTCCTGTAAATCAGCCTTTCTCCTAAATGACAAAGATCATACTTTCTGTATTTAAGTTTGACGTTAGGTGGTTCCAGCCATAAAAGAAATATGGCAAAACCACCTGGCATGAGAAACACATCAGGCACTGATGCCCAAGAGCAGACAGGATGCATCCCCTCAAGGGCAGAGGCAACGCGGGGTTCCTAAAGACTCAACATTGCCCGACATAGTCGGGATGCTTCTCTCAGTTCAAGCAAAAAGCTGAATGACAAGATCACAGGACCAGACCTCTGCCTCACAGTGCTCTAAGGGAAGTATTATTTTGTCCTCTCAGACTGGAAGGAGAAAATGGAGGTTAGAAAATAAAGTGAGACGCACGGAAACAGAACAGGCTGGTGGTTGGCTAGGGTGGGGCTAAGGGTGGGGGGAACGGGTGAAGGGGGTCAAAAGGTACAAACTTCCAGTTATAAGATAAATAAGTCTGGGGATGTAACAGTGACTATCGTTAACAATACGGTACTGTGTACCTGACAGTTTCTAAGAGAGCTGATCTTAAAAGTTCTCACCACAAGGAAAAAAAAAATGTAGAGCTATATGAGGTGATTCATGATTCATGTTCACTAGAATTATGGGGGTGATCATTTAACAATACATACAAATATTGACCATTATGTTGTACACACGAAACTAACAGGTTACATGTCCATTTTATCTCAATAAAAGTGGAAAAAAATAAATTGCGAAAAAAAATAGAGAGAGCTAGATCTACCACATGACTACGTGCATTAATCTAAAAGAGGAGGTTTGGTTGTGAAAGAGAAAATTCAAGTCACTTGAACAACCCCCCAGCCCCCAGACCTACCTTGGTGGGGGCCACGTACACGACCACCCCATCGTCGCCCTCCCGTAGCACCTTCTCCATGCAGTAGTAGGAGGCGTAGGTCTTCCCTGAGGACGTGGGGGCCACTATGACCGCAGACTCATTCTTGTCCACGACATCCAAGAGCTCTCGCTGCAGGGTCAGAGCACCGTTGTGTCAGCACCACGAGAAGCATGTTAGCAAAACAAATACCTTAAGACACTTCCAGCATAATTCTCTGAGCCGCAAAGGAGTGGCTGCGAGTTGAAAACACACCAAAAGATACACGGGAACTTGGGAAGAACTCACGGCCTCTCCCAGAAGAGAGAATTGCAGTGCTTTTGAGCGTCTGGAGGTGGCTTTGTGTGTGAAAGACGGAGACAGGGTCTGAACAAAATATCTTGTCCTTGGGTAGATATTCTTTCTGATTACTTGTCATTGACTAAGTGCACGACGGCTCTGAGAAATGAAGATCTAAGAGTATGTATTTTTGTAAGGGTGAAAAAGTAGCTGAACAGAAAAAAAAAAAATCAATGATTAATCATTTTACTACTTATCTTGTACTTTCTAAATAGAAGGATGCCAGCCCCTACTTTGGAGGGCATGTGGGACCTTCATTAAAACAGACTCCCAGGACTTCCCTGGTGGCGCAGTGGTTGAGAGTCCGCCTGCTGACGCAGGGGACACAGGTTCGTGCCCCAGTCCGGGAGGATCCCACATGCCGCGGAGCGGCTGGGCCCGTGGGCCACGGCCGCTGAGCCTGCGCGTCCGGAGCCTGTGCTCCGCAACGGGAGAGGCCACAACAGTGAGAGGCCCGCGTACCGCGAAAAAAAAAAAAAAGACTCTCATCCCTTTAGCCTATGCTTTTATTCATCAAAATGAGGACTAGTGAAAGGATCATTAGCCTGTGTGATGGGCAGAAGATGGAAAAGGCCCCCAAAGCCCCATCCTGCAGACTCTCTGAATCCAGGTCCACTCTGGGCCACACCTCAGAGCAGAGGCGACATCGAAAGAAGTGCAGCGGAGGGGCCATAGATACCTGGAGGCCCTTAGCTGCTTCGAGTTCTGCACTTCAGGAAGGAAGGACCTGGTCCCCCTGCCCCTGAACAGCAGGCAGGGAGTTTCTGAGGCACTCCAGCATCATCAACACAAGGACGATAAAGTCAGATTCTGATAAGACCATCTGTTAGACTGAACCTCTGAAATGGCATTTTCATAGCCAAACACGTTTAACTGATAAGGTTCGAGGCAATTTTACAAGGTTGAATCAATGCAGAAACACACCCTTTGATTCCTAATTTTCTAGCCATCAATATTAATTTTACACTTGTTTATAGAAAAGTAGCTACTATGGTCAAGGGTACAGGCTGTAAATATCTCAACAACTGTCTCTACTGTTTAAACTCCCTGAATGTCTCTGTCACATTTCTATATTTACATAGGATATCCTGCAGACACAGGGAAGCCTTGGAGGATGTTCCACAATGATACAGTCGGATGACAAAGACAGAACTTCAAATATATACGTGTGAATCCATGAGAGTACCTCCAAGAAAATGGTCTATTTATGAAAAATGGATGATATGAAAAAGTCACTTTCTTTAAATGGGAAAACGTCCACATCCGACATTTCCCATGACCATTTTAAATGAGATGACCCGAGATGAAGAATTTCATGCCAGATGTGCTGTGTGGAACCATGAGAAGCTCCTGAGATCAGATCTAATAATAAAATACAAAAACGTTTCTTTCATCCAGTCATTACCTGCCAGGTGTCAGGAATAAAGTCCTGGACTCTGGGGTCTGGATCTTTCCTCTCGTCTCGTACCAAACAGTGGCCCATGTACTGCAGCTGAAACCGAGCTGGCCCGACGCCAACCGAGTATTTGTTCTTCCCCTTCCCCTCCTTTACGTCATTTCCTGTGACCTAAGGGAGTTTACAAGCCCATTTGGAAAGTGACTGTAAATTATAACATCCTTTAAATGATTAAAAATATTTTTTAAAATAAAATAACTGAAAACTAATGTTTACAGGAAAAGCATTTTACCATCTTTCAAATTTTGCAATGTTTATTGAAGAAATCTCTTACCACCTAAATCATTATCTTAACTAAGAGTAAACAGCGGACATCCAGATCTTCAGATATCCATCACGGCGCTTGAGCTACAATCTGATATCAAGACAACTGAACAGTCGCAATATAGTTTTTAAATGTTTTGCTAGAATTAAACAGAGGATTAGTTTTAAGGGTCTGCAGAGACTATCTGGCATTTCTGTCCAGAGAAGCTTTTGTAAAATCTTCTAATTCTAGGTTACTTCAAGTTGGGGGAGCTGGATTACTAATAACGATTATGAACTTGGAGTAAATATTTTCAGTGAAAAAAAGAAACCCAGGTAACTGTGCTTATAAGACACTTGAGGTGCACCTAATAATTACTCTACTAGAATGGAGCTATTCTGAAAACATTACCTGCACTGGATGCAAAGAACTTGCCAACTCCTCAAATCCTAAGTACCTAAGGCATCTGGCTATGAGTTGCCGATCTGCCTCTTGCAAAAGTCCTGGGTATTTTTCCATCACGGAGTAGATCCTTTTCATCATTTGAACAGCTATACTTAAATCTTTTGTGGTTTCACCTTGGTAAAGAATAAACACCAAAACTGTTATAAAGGCCATCAAAAATAATAAATGTTTGATTGTCCAAGATTATTCACTCAGGCTATCAACCTGACCCAATTAAATTCATCGTCTTACTTAGCATCATTGGAGGTTTTGGAATACAGAAAACTCAATAAAATGAAAGTGCAACTAAACACATTCCGACATCTCTGTGGATAACTGAGATGTAGCTCTGTAAGGGTTGGGAGAAAAAGGAAAATCCTGTAGCTCATGAGAGAAATAAGATCACTAAAGCCCAAGTTGGTCTAAGTTCTAAGGAATACAAATCTTTCCATGTCTTCTCTACTATGTTCAAAGAAAAATGTCCAGATGAGTTTAAATATCTGGTTAAAAACTTGGGCTTCCCTGGCGGCGCAGTGGTTGAGAGTCCGCCTGCCGATGCAGGGGACGCAGGTTCATGCCCCGGTCTGGGAAGATCCCACATGCCGCGGAGCGGCTGGGCCCATGAGCCATGGCCGCTGAGCCTGCGCGTCCGGAGCCTGTGCTCCGCAACGGGAGAGGCCACAACAGTGAGAGGCCCGCGTACTGCAAAAAAAAAAAAAACTTGGCAACATTTATTGAACCTTAATGGTGATCAGAGCTAAGTATCTGGTGTAATCACTGGAGCCTTTAAATTCAATCAGTCTGTTACACCTGCCAGATCCAAACTTTGCTAATCCCTGTCCATTTCTTTACAGTCACTTACATCCTTTCTAGTCCCACTCACGGCTGGTCTTTTCATACTTCACACGTTAGGGCAGTTTTGATTCGCCCTTTCTTCCAATCAACCTACATTTTATCTATTTAACAAATATTACCAAACACATATTGATGCTATAAAGGCTATGAAAGAAATTTAAGCCACTGTTAATCCTGATCTCTCTCAGGCCAACTGCAAATCCTGACACAGCATCTTAAATCGAGAGACCCACAGAGGCCAAGTCTTATGCTTCTCACGGGGATGAAATCCTCAGGGAAGTCTGTCGTCGCAGGGGCAGATTGAAGTTAGTAGAATGATGGGGTAGCGGGAAGAAGAACCCCCAGGGACCCCTCATCATTTCACCTGCCATCGACTTACGCGTCTCTACCCAGCCATGTTTCTCTCTCACCTGCCTCTTCCTGCCTCTTCTTTTCTTTTCTACTATCTATTGTAGCAGTTGTAAAGTAAGGCACATGGAAACCACAGCAACTTCTGGACAAGCTCAGCGTGCCAGGCAAACATGACCCGAGTTTTGCCCAGAAAGAAAATGCTCGCACTTCAGATCTCAGAGATGAATGACAGACTCTCCCTGGGACCTCGCCATCTGTGGGTCCCCTTAACGAGGCCCGCAACTCTCTAAGTGGTTGTTTGTAAACTTTGACTGGGGATTGATTTGAATTTTTTTATTGGAGTGTAGTTGACTTACATTGTTGTGTTAATTTCTGCTGTACAGCAAAGTGATTCAGTTATACATATACATTCTTTTTCATCTTTTCTTCCAATCATTCCCTGTGCTGTACAGTAGGACCTTGTTGTTTATCCATCCTATATATACTAGTTTGCATCTGCTGATCCCAAACTCCCAATCTTTCCCTCCCCCTCTCCTTGGCAACCACAAGTCTGATCTCTATGTCTGCATGTCTGTTTCTGTTTCGTAGGTAAGTTCATTAGTGTCATATTTTAGATCCCACATGTAAGTGATGAGGAATTGATTTGAATTTGCTTATGAATGTGCTGTATCTTTGCTACTGGGGCCCCCTTTGAGACTTCATTGCTCATTGATAAAATAGAGATAACAGTACTTAGAGGACTTCTCCAAGGACAAAATCAGATAATGCATCTAAGGCTTCCCTAAGCCTTCTAACACAGACTTCCAGTTAATAAGTAACAGCTGTATCATCATTAGATTTTTATGCTTCTCCAATGTATTCACACAAACAAATCAACAAGAACTCACAGCCACATACCTACACCACAGCAATGTTCTTTCCACGCTCTCAAGCAGGCAGTAATCCCCACCATTTCAACTCGAAATTTCACTGAGCTACTTTTACATGATTTCAAAAAATCTTCTAGGTTCTTTATTCCGGAGTTTAAATTCTCTTTCATTTCCTCCTCAATAGAAAAGGACAGAACATTCCATTTTTTCTCTTCTTTTTCTTCTTCCTTGGCAAATAGCCTCTCCTTATTCTCTCTAGTAATTTTTTCAGCCTTGGTCTCCTGCCCCAAAAAAGAAGGAAACATGTCATAAAACAAGTTGGACACAGTCTGAGATGCCGTTGCATGAATGAGACAATAGTTTTAAGTGTACATTGATTATTCTGAACATCATCCCATTCTTGACAAGGCACAATCTTCATTTCAGTGTCTGTTTCTTAACCCTGAAGCCCCTGTGAATTGAAATCTTTGGACAATCCAATTTAATGACTATAAAGCCTCTGTGCAGATAATTTTTCTAGATTTCTAAGTAGTGCAGGTTAAAAACTGAAGAGTAAACGTAATACAATCAGAAACACCAGGACCCTGGTTCTTCTGTCTCCTGATCTCTCGGGAATTGGTTTTCCTCTTCCATCCCCCATGGTCACCTCTCTACCCCAACTTGTGCTTCTAGAGATTTCTCCCACAAAGCCTTACTCAACTCTCCCAGCCTGAGCACGTATTCCTCCCCCTGCCCGGGCGTCTCTCTATCAAATGCTCATCACACGCAATGCAGTTGTGATTTTCCTTGTCATGAGACAGGAATGTGCCTTAGTTGTTGGTGTGTCCCAAGCACCGCACAAGTTCATCCTCTTTTATGGGTGAATGAGGAAGGGGCAGGTAGGAAGGAACATCATAAATAAACCGGTTTGCTCTGTCTAGACAAGCATTTCCAACCAACTTACACACAATATAGACCCACTCCTAGTACACTTTTACCTACTTGACTTATTAATGTGGCAAGAAAATTAGAGAACTGTTGTATCCATAAGAGACAAACCTTCCATTATTCTGCTTAGTCATGAAACTCATATTTAGCTTAGAGTGCTGCTGGAAGAGCACATTTACACTGTGCTGAGCTTGTTTAATCTCCACGAGATAATTTACTTAATTTCCAATAATGTAGATGATAAAAAAAACATGAAACTTTTTTCAGTCTTTATACCTTATACTAGGTAATTAGAATTTTTGCCAACTTTCTATTTTATAACCTCTCTCTCTCGAAAAAAAAACTATATAAAAGAAGCTTTTCAGTAAATAAAAAAGGAATAGTTGTAATTGGATGGTCTCACTAAAAATAAAATTGGCTGTGAAAATAAAAAGGAGGTTGTCGCCACGAGGAGAAAAACAAAGACCACCAAGCTGGGCCTGAGGTGGCTGCTTGTTGACTATTAAAGCACAAGTCCTCATGTCTGCTCAAATATTTTTTTAACTTGAGGTATAATTGAAAAATTGTAGGATATTGAAAGTGTACATCATGGTGGCTTGATATACATGTACATTGTGGAAGGGTTCTCCCCACTGAGTTAATTAACCCACTCATCAACTCACATATTTATCTTCTGGGGGAGGAGGGGAGGGGAGAATATTTAAAATCTACTCTCTTAGCAAATTCAATGATATGATGTAGGGTTATCCACTCTAGTCACCACGTTTCTCCTCTCTGTTTCTATGAGTTTGACCTTTTTTTTCTTCTGGATTCCACGTGTAAGTTACACCACGCAGTATCTGCCTTCTCTGTCTGACCTACATCACTCAGCACCTCTAGGTTCAACCACGCTGTCACAAATGGCAGAATTTCCTCCTTGTAACTGAATAATATCCCAATATATATACAGACCACATCTTCTTTATCCATTCATCCCTTGCTGGATGCTCACATTGTTTCCGTATCTTGGCTGCTGTGAATAATGCTGTAATGAACATGGGAGTGCAGAGATCTCGTCTACATCCCGTTTTCTTTTCTGGGATAAATACCAGAAATGGGAATGCAGGACTATATAGTAGTTTTATTTTTAATATAATATTTGGAGGAAATATACCATTTTCCATAGTGGCTGCACCAATTTACATTCCCACCAACAGTGCACAAGGGCTGCCTTTTCTCCACATCCTGGCCAACACTTGTTGTTTCTTGCCCTTTTGATGATGGCCATTCTGACAGGTGTGAGTCGATATCTCATTGTGGTTTTGATTTGACTTCCCCTATGACTAGTGATGTTGAGCATCTTCTCATGTGCCTGTTAGCCATCTGCATGTCTTCTTTGGAAAAATATCCATTTAGTTACTCTGCCCACTGTTTAATCAGATTGTTCTATTTTCTGCTATTGAGTTGTATGAGTTTTTTGTATATTTTAGATAGTAACCCCTTATCGGATATATGATTTGCAAATATTTTCTCCCATTTTGTAGTTCGTTGCCTATTCATTTCTTTGATGGTTTCCTCTGCTGTGAAGAATCTTCTTAGTTTGATACAATCTCACTTGTCTATTTTTGCTTTTGTTACCTTTGCCATTGGTGTCAAATCCAAAAAATCATCACCAACACCAAAGTTAAGGAGATTATGGCTTATGCTTTCTTCTAGGACTTTTACAGTTTCAGGTCTTGAAGTCTTTGATCCATTTTGAGTTAATTCTTGTGTATAATATAAGATAGGGTTCCAAGCCTCGTTCTTTTGCATGTAGCTGTCCAGGTTTCCCAACACCATTTATTGAAGAGGCTGTCTTTTCTTCATTGTATATTCTTACCTCCTTTGTCATAAATTAATTGACCATATGTGCTTGAGTTTATTTCTGGGCTCTCTATTCTGTTCCATTGACCCATGTACCTGTTTTTATGCCAATACCATACTGTCTTGATTACTATAGCTTTGTAATATAGCTTGAAATCAGGGAGTGTGATGCCTGTAGATTTGTTCTTTTTCCTGAAGATTGTTTTGGCTATTCAGGGTGTTTTATGGCTCCATACAAATTTTAGGATTGTTTATTTCTGTGGAAAATGCCACTGGAATTTTGATAGGGATTGCATTAAATCTATAGATTGCACTGGGCAGTAAGGACATTTTAACAACATTCTTTCTTCCAATCCATGAGCGCAGAATATCTTTCCATTTATTTGTATCCTCTTCAATTTCTTTCATCACTGTCTTGTAGTTTTCAATGTACTGTAACCTCCTTGGTTAAATTTATTCCTAGGTATTTTATTCTCTTTGATGCAATTGTAATTGGGATTGTTTTCTTAATTTCTGCTCCTGATAGTTCATCATTGGTGTATAGAAACACAACAGATTTTTGTATACTGATTTTGTATCCTGTGACTTTACTGAACTCATTTATTAGTTCTGACAGTTTTTTGGTGGGGTTTTTATATAATATAATGTCACCTGCAAACAGGCAGTGTTACTTCTTCCTTTCCAATGTGGATGCTTTTTATTTCTTTTACTTGCCTAACTGCTCTGGCTAAAACTTTCAGTGCTATGTTGAATACAAGTGGTGAGACTGGGCATCCTTGTCTTGTTCCTGATCTTAAAGAAAAAGCTTTCAGGTTTTCAGCTTTATCATTATATAATGACCTTCTATCTCCCTTATTACAGTCTTTGTATTAAAGTCTATTTTCTGTGGTATAAGAATAGCTACCCTTGCTTTCTTTTGGTTTCCATTTGCATGGATTATCTTTCCCATCCCTTTACTTTTCTAAAAACGTAGCATGGAAAGCAACTATCAAAGGGATTGAACAAATAACAATAAAGAAGGACAATGAAAAGTAAAAAAAAATTTTGATAGAATGAATATAACCTACCTGTATCTTTTTGCTCTTGGGTTCACAGAAATTCTTCCTTGGCTTGATAGCTTGAGGTACAACAAATTTTGAAGAGACTGATTCTAATGAATTCCCATAAAATCGTTGAAAACGATGATACATTTGCACAGATCTAAGATGATGAGGATCTCTAGATTTTTCTGGAAAAGAAAAGGCTTAAAATGCAACACTACTACATATTTTCAACAGCGTTCTCACTAATCCTTCACACCATCCCACACACACGTGCACTTTTCTTTTTAGTTTGGAACAGTAACTTAGGCTGGTGACTTTTGTTAAAGAAGGAATCTTAAATCACACTATCTCTTGTCCACAGAATGATTCCTTACTTTATTTAAAGGATGCAAGCAACAAAACACCCTTTTATTGTACACCTCTCAAAGCAAATATCAGGATGCTACAAAGAATGACAGATTCTGGGCATTACTTCTGTTTTGTACCCTGTGAGTGAAGTTAAGAAGGGGGAAGGTAGGACTTCCCTGGTGGCGCAGTGGTTGAGAATCCACTGCCAATGCAGGGGACATGGGTTCAAGCCCTGGTCTGGGAAGATCCCACATGCCGCGGAGCAACTAAGCCCGTGCACCACAACTACTGAGCCTGCGTTCTAGAGCCCACGAGCCACAACTACTGAGCCCACGTGCCACAGCTACTGAAGCCCACACTCTGCAACAAGAGAAGCCACCGCAGTGAGAATCCCGTGAACCACAACGAAGAGTAGCCCCCGCTCGCCGCAACTAGAGAAAGCCTGGGCGTAGCAACTAAGACCCAATGCAGCCAAAAATATAAATTAATTAATTAATTAAAAAAAAAAAAAAGAAGGGGAAAGGTCAAGGCCAAATCAGGAAGATGTCCATCTAGGGTATCATGGCTTCTTGTACCACTTGACAGAAAAATCCTTACTCCAGACCATGGCCACAGAGCCAAGAACTTGGCAGCTCAGAAAGACTCACTGTAGAAAAATCCAATGACATAGGAAATCCCAACACTCAAGGTATGACTTACTCCCATCCCCAGAGAAAACTACAGCACTCACTTCAAGGGACTAGTTAAGCAGGCTGATTTTTCTATATCTGTATCTACATATGTAAATCAAACAGCTCTGAAGGATGTTAATGATTGATCTAAAAACTCCCTTGTACTTTTCAGGATATTAGTAGTTGTTTCTAACAGCAGGCTGGGAAGTGTTCCGTGGGAACATGCTTACTAGGTCCACTCTGAGATTCTTCTGAAGGTAAGTTCTGTCCACTGGAAGCAGGGTCGGGGTGAGCATGGGGTAGACAAAAGAAGACAAGGGATGAGCCGGGGAAAAGGGTCCCTAAGTCAGTCTCGGCTAACTTGCTCTCAGTGGTGCCACAGCCTCCATCCTGAGCATGAAGGTGGGTAAACTGCTGCCCTTGTTATGGGTGACGTGAAAGCAGCTGCAACTGCTTGCAAGCCTATAGCCTCAATATTTCTGCCATCAAGGAGCACACAGACGTCTTAAACTATAAACTGTCTTAGCTTAAAACAGCTTCTAACTTTTGTGGGACAAATGCCATCTCTGTGCACTTGCTCCTAAGACAGCTGTGTGCCCGTGTACACGTGACGGTCAGCAAAGTGGGGCTCTTTCCTCACCCTCTTTACTGACATATATCTACATATCTTGTACATTATTGTTATTCAAGAAATAGAATAATTATTCATTGTAACATAAAAGGCAGAGAGTGAAATAGATTTTAAGGTATTTCACCAGAATCGCAGAACTCACCATCAAAGTGACCCTTTGTCCTGTCATAATCATCACTAAGGGGTCTGTGGGAATGCCAGTGCACAAGCTCATCAAATTCTTTCTGCTTGACCAGTGAAGTTACAATAGGATCATCGCTATGAGACGAAAAGAAATATAGGCACATTTTAAACTGCATACCTCTAAATACAGCACAGCATAGATCACATTTAAAAAAAAATTTTTTTTTAAATCATAGCCACTTTTCCTCTTTCCAAGATATAATGTGGGTGGTAGAATCCAAAGAGCAGTTTAATAGGGCTTCACAACCCAGAATCTACCCCATATCTCATGCCATCGACATCAACAAATATTCATCCACTCATTCATTAATTACAAACACACAGCTGGAATGATTTTCCTCTAAGGTTAAAACTATGTTGATTTTTAAGCTAGTTATGATCACAAGACATTGGTAAATTTGAAACTAAACTCTTTATGTGTTACAAACACACGTTACATCTAATATAACCTCTTTATAAATAATCTGTCGAACTTTGTAAAAGCTTTAATGAGTAATTCATCCATTCCACCCAGTGGCCCCCATACCTCGTTAGGAAAGGCAAATCTTTCAAAATGTCCCCAGCAAACTTATCAACCACCTGACATGACACTGGAATAAAACCCAAATTAGCCATCTTTTCCTTGGAGGTATCTGTAAAAAAGTAGTAAGACAAGGTCAAATGTGAAACTTTCATACAGCAATGTTACACATCATTTTCTAAAATTTCACATTTAAAAAAACATCATGTTTCATTGATCTTATTTATTTACGTTAATCAATTCTAGCCCTTCCCACAAAGCTACTTTCCACATTAAAGCATTCTGGAACACAGCAGAACATAAAGAAATAGGCAGCATTTAGGCATGTAGGTAGGTAGATAGAAGGATAGATAGACAGACGGATGGATGGATGGATGAACAGATACACTGACAGACAGAAAAACACCTATGTTTCCTATTTCAAATGTTTGTTCCTTTTCTTATTTCCTATTATGAGACAAGGAATTTAAATATGGAAGTCTCGCTCAGAAATCTCTTACATATATACTTTTATAAAAATAAAAAAGTAGGGGGAAAATACAGATGTCAATGAAATTATGTGATATCATTAGTCTTCTCTTACATCCTCCTTGATGTTATGCCCATGTACACCTACATATGATAGATGGATATCACACGTCACATATTGATCGTATATACAACAGCTGGCTAACAAATGCCCCTTTATCCAGTGTCTGGTTCATAATCCTAGGTGAGCTGCAATTGCTCTGCTCGTTATTTCCTTGACGTTCACTGTTCCTGCGTTTGCCTGAAACCTTCCTATGAGTCCCTACAACTCTCCCTGAGCACTTCCTTCTTACAGCCTTGGGCGCAGCCAGAGTCCTAAGGATTTCATGCCCCCCGAGACTTGACGAAAGTCACAAGGTAAATACCCCAGCTACCTTGCTCTTTGGGTAAGACATCTCCAAAGTGGTTTGCACAGTTCTAGGATTCCCAGTAAAACTTACCTGTAGTTGCCCACGTGGAAACCTACGCATTAACACGGCCTGCACCAACTGTGTTTTCTTCCTAGTATTACCTAAGCACTCCCTTATTGGATCTTCCTGGGAACAATAAACTCCTTGCTCTCAAGCGTCTTTGTCTAGTGGAACTCATTCTGACATAATGAAAGGGGATATATATTCTTCCCCTGTACTCTGAAAAATACACTTGTATCAATACATCCCCAACCCCCCTTAGCTTTCTTTGTCACTTTCCATCTGGGGTCATTTTATTCTTCCTGAAATTCATGATATAGAAGTGTCTCCAGTGATGACAGGATGATGGATAAATCAGCGTTTGCATTTTGAAAAATGTCCAAGCTACTCATTTCTTAAAACTGTATTTTAAGAATAACATACGATTTCATTATGTTCTGACTTCTATAATGATATTTGGGAAAGTCTATTATTAGAGACTAATTTTTATTCCTTTGTAAGTAACTCTGGTCCTTTTAAGATATTTATTTTTTACATTCTCTAATCCCACTGCATCTTGCCTAGCGTGTGTATCTGTGCGTGTGCGTATGCATGTGCATACATTTGCTTTGTCCCACTCGGGACTCATCATATGCCCTGAGTGTGCAAATCCCTGTCTTTCATCATCCAGGCAAACGCCAGCCACAGTCTCGTCAAATATGGCTCAATCTACACTGGCTTGGCCTCTCCTTCCAAATCTCCAAATGAATGAAAGATTAGACAGCTTCATTCTGTCTTCCATGTCTTTTAACATGTATTTTATCATTTTTTATCTCTATTTCTTTTGTTTGTTTTCCGGTTCTTTTAAAATTTCTCCAGCTTGAGATATAACTGACATATAACCCTGTGTAAATTTAAGGTATGTAATGTGTTCATCACTACTGTGCCTGTAGTTCTTCTGATCTATTTCTAGCTCACAAATTCTCTTTAGCCAAATCCAATCAGCTTTTGAACCTATCCATTGACAGTCTTTTCATTTCTACAACTCTGATTATTTTAAAATGTGAAGATGTTTTCTACCATTTTGTTTTTCATGTTTCAAATTTCATATTTTATTTCTTCAAGCATTTTTAAACACACATATAGTATATTCTACTTTTGATAATTACAAAATCTGAAATACTTAAGAGTTCTCATTTTGCAGCTTTACTGTTTGCCTGGGGGCTTATTTCTCTGCTGTTTATAAATTTGCATGTGCACTCGTATGTGGCAGAGAAGCGCTGTAAAATCAGGGTATACAAGGATGTTCCTCTACAGAGAACACGCCAGATTCCTTTGATCGCTTTAAGGTTATTTTCCAGCTTAGAGTTGTCTTGACTCTGCTGACTGAGTACACTGAAACCCAGATTCTTAGGAAGGCAGAACTACAATTAGAAATTCTCAGAGTGACCCAGAGATCAGTCTCTCCATTCATGTTTGGCTCCTGGAATTTCCCTCCTATTGTTTTGAGCTTACTTACGATTTTGTAAAAAGATGTTTGGTGTCTCTTATCTAACATTTCCATCATTATACACGCAAGAGATCTTTCACTTGATCTACACTTCAGATTGATAGAAATGGAAGACACTGGCTTTCTTAAAAATTGGCAGCAACGTTAGTTACAGGGAAAACATATCACTGTTCAAAATTATACTCAAAGTATTATCTCCCCAAGGATATGACCGTATAGGTCATTTTTAATGCATAGTACCCGAAAATTATTTATACTTGCAACATTTAGTTACTGGCGCTTTCAAAACATTTTCAGAGGAATGATGCTTTTATTTCAAATTAATTTAGAGATTTATTACCTTTGATTGGTGACGGATCCTTTTTAAGAAAAGGAAATTGTTCTGTTCTCAGAGGAAATGGCTTTCCAACATCAAACTTTGTGACCAACTTTGATACAGTATCCCAGAGATGTTCATAATCTTTCATAATGACATTTCCCAAATTCAAATGTAGCCCTACATGAGTTCAAAGTAGTAAACACTGAAAGTCATTCACACATACACAGAAGCACACATTTTGACTAAATTCACAGAGCTCTGAAATACTTGTCAAACAGTGAAATTTTCTGTGAGTGCCACACTGAACCTAGAGCCAAACGGTCCCTAGAGTTGACTGTGGGACTGGAGACTTTAGAGTTTATCCTGTTTCCCTATTTGATAACTATTAACATTATAACTGCCTTAACTAACAATAACAGATGGTGAATATCTAACTATTCTTCAAGGTAACAAAAAATGTTACGTCACACATAACTTTATAATCAATAAAACAGAATAAAACTATGATTTTTCAAAAATGAGAAAGTTTGTAGAGGACTGCTAAATTTATTTGTAGCTATAACTCATTCTAACACTTGCAATATGTAGGAACCAAACCTTAGAGGTCAAAGAAGCTTCAGTAATGCTCAATCAGTTTTAGTTCTCTTAAAATGTCTTTTATTTTTCTTTGACTACGAATAAACAGCAGAAGATTTCTTCTAATGAAATTATTCAAAGAAAGAAAAATTAATTATATACAACAAATATATAAATCAGCTTTACCTTTGGAAAAACTTAAAATTCCCTAAATATCTAATAGTAGTACATGATTACATTAATTAGAGTAAATATTCTGAAAAATGTTCTGCGTATATTTAACTGAAAAATTCACCTGTTAAAATTATCTAGAAATGCCAAGCTCCCAAAGATGTATGTTTTCCAAAAATACTTGTGGAATAATATTAAGTTAAAAATATTTTAAAACACAACATTCACTCTGATTGCAACTAAGTAAAACTTATATACACGCATAAATAAATATCTGGAAGAAAATGACTGCTATATGTTACAAGTATAGGAAAATCATTTTGAAGCTTTAAATCCTTTATAATGTTTATCTCTGGGTAAAGGCATAATTATTATAAGATACTAGGGTGGTACCTTGAACACTTTCATTTTCATAGTAAAATGCTATATTCTTCAATAAAAGCTCATCACTTAAGTCGGAAAGGTGAGTTAAATTCAGATTCCAAAATTCAAAAACGTCTATATTACTTAGGATGAAGTATTCACACCACTTTTTCTGAAATTGGAAATAAAAACCAAGTTAGTGACAATTTTTACATTAGCAAGAACCTAGAAGACTTCAAACATCTCAATAATCCAACTGAAAGGCAAGTGGGCTGGGCTCTTCCCATTCTTACGGATGTGAGCCCTTCCAGGCTGGGTCATATTGAATGCATCACACTTTGAAAGATTTAAAGTTAAAATAATATCAGGCTGACCAAGAATGATTCAGCATAGTCCTTATTCCCAGTCACAGAAATCCGTACTTGACTCTTACAACTTCTCTCCCACAGATACGGGACTAGAGAAATATTTCTGCTTTCAAATGTGCCTCTGTTCTTTCCTCGGGGTTTAATGCTTCCAATGTTACTTTCAGGTCAAAACAGCATTTAAAAAAAGAGCATGTGATTGTTGAGGGGATCCTTCGCAAAGATCCCCATCCACCTACATTCCTGGGCAGCTGTGTTCCCGCCTGTCACGGGCAGAATGTCTTCAGCGGCAGCACTGAGCTCAGAACAGGGCAGCCGCGACTCAAGCAACAGCAGCGCACAAACCTGGTCATCCCTTTAGTCAGCGTTCGAGTTTGGGGAGTTGGGTTGAGAGGGAAAAACGGAGGCTTCTCTGCTCCACACACAATAACACACCCAGGCTCTCCAAATGTGAATAATCTCTTTATCTATATGGATGTGGAACTTTAACAGCGTTACCCGATAGAAGTGGAACGCAGGCAAGCTGCATGTTACCTTAAACTTTCATGTTTCTTAAACTTTTTTCACGTTAAAAAAAAATAAGCTGAAATTCATTTTATTTTATTCAACCCAACATACCCAAAATATTGTCATTTCAATGCGTAATCAATATAAAAATATTCACAGAATAGTTTACATGCTTTTCACACGAAGGTTATGAAATCTGGTGTCTCTTTTAGACTTAGGCACGTTTCAAGTGCCTAATACCCAAGTGTGGCGATTGGCTCCTACCCTGGACGGCCCAGCTCTAACCAGGTGACTGAGGATGGCTGTATAGGGTTCCTGATGAGGTCACAGGTATCAAAGAATCAGGAACCCCGTACCTAGGGTGGAGTTTTACCTACAAATAAAACACGAACGAGCTCTCTTCAGGGCCATAAAGCTGTGGTCCTCAAACTGCTGCAAAACCTCCCCTGGAAAGATTATTAAAGAGAAGACAGGGCTTCCCTGGTGGCGCAGTGGTTGGGAGTCCGCCTGCCGATGCAGGGGACGCGGGTTCGTGCCCCGGTCCGGGGGGATCCCACATGCCACGGAGCGGCTGGGCCCGTGAGCCATGGCCACTGGGCCTGCGCGTCCGGGGCCTGTGCTCTGCAACGGGAGAGGCCACAACAGTGAGAGGCCCGCGTACAGCCAAAAAAAAGGAAAAAAAGGAAAAAAAAAAAGAGAAGACAGCTTGCTAGGCAGCATCCCCAGAGGCTGATCCAGTAGGTCTGGGGGGAGCCCAAGAAACTGCATTTCTAACCTGTTCTCAGGATGCTATTGGTCAGGGGGCTGTACTTTGGGTACCACTGCCATGTAAGGGCTGTCCCCACCGCCAGGCCACAGAGCCTTTCCCATAACACCGCTGAGTAAACAGAAATATGCGAAAACAGGACACCAAAGGCTCCTCACTGGAGGCACTTCACCTGAGAGGTACCTCCACGTCATCCCCAAGTGTCAAGATTTGGGCCAACATGAAACTCTCTCTTCCACTTCCTGAGCTACCTTCCCCAGAAGCCTGAGGATATGCCCTTCGCTGTGAACATTTCAGAGGCTGAAATTATGTTACGAAGTTAGGCTTCTAGCTCCCAGGTGCTACCAAAGTGAAGCATGGAGAATGGTGAAGACAGATCAAGGTGGGGCTCACCCAGGTGACAGTCAGCCCTCCCCACGTCGGGAGAGGGGAAGATGAGGAAGGGCACAGACTGGGAAGCTGGGCAGAGATGAAGGTGGACCTCGGCTTGGTCACTTATTAGCTGTGCTAGTGGGCCCCACAGCCCTTCTGAGCCCAAGTTTTCGTCAGTAAAACGAGGACAGAGGAGGAGTGATGTGTCTGAGTGAGGCAACAGAGGTCAAGGACACGCACAGAATAAACGGGAGGCCCTCCCACCACATCCAGCAGTCCACGCCATCCTAATTAAAGGTGATGTCTTCTACCAGCCAAAGCCACAAGGAATGTCCTGCAGGGCCATCTTAGAACATTCCATAATGCAGAAAGATTTTGTAATGTTCTTTTCAACTCGTGCTCACTGTACATAAGAAATTGTTTATAAAACTCTCTATAAATGAAAAGTATACATTCAGAGCATTCCTTTAAATCTGTAAATCAATACCACAGTTAACACATTCATACTATTCAATAGTCGAGCACATGTAATTCAACCTAAATAAAGTTGACCAAAAATTAAGTATTTCTCAGAAATAAAATTACAACAGAACTCAGAGCACAATATTATCGATGCTATAATGTGTTATTTCAGAATCTGACATGCTGTATAAATAGGCTCAGTGTATTAAACTGGCATGACATATTAAAATTCTAAAGTGAATTAAATGGGAACTAGGAATAGTCTTCATAAACCTTTTAATTAGCCACAGTCTGCCTCTGCCTGACAGAACCAAAAACACCTAGAGCAAAGCTCCCCAGTGGGACCTGGAACACAGGAAAATGCTTTCACTCGAGCGTCAGCAACCCCCATTATACTGTGTCCACCACCTCACAAGACCGTTTAAAACTTCTGTCAGAGCAGTTGTGAATGTTCACAAATATGACCCAGGTACGCATCGACGGACTTGTCTGCTCCTGAGCTGCAGTTGCTGACCCGACACCTCTGTCAGCTGTTACAGTAAATACAGTCTATGCACCACCAGCAGAACACTAGTCCAACACATCACCCTCAGGTCAATTCCCTCCAGGGTCTGCACTGCATCCCCCCAGCCGGACTCCAACAGGGGCGTTTACACAGGGGTCGCCTCGTCTCAGTTGGAAGAGGGTGCCCTCCGCTCAAGATGTGGCCCCAGGTGGACAGACTCTCCTGTGCTCTGCTCAGGCCACAGACCCAGCCCCTTGGACGGAGACTGGCTGCTCACTGGCTTCCACTGGGTCCCCTGGAGCTCATGTCTACCAAAAGCAGCCCTGAGATGTTGAGGGACTTGCCACGACATTTCCCACTCAACTCGCCTGCCTTCTGAGGACCCTCAAGCCCAGAGGCCCACCTCCGCACGCTCATCAGCCAGCGGGACTCACCTGGGGCCTGAGGACCTCAGATGCCCTCCCACCCCTGGCAGCACAGGGGCCACATCTCCATCCTTCATGCCCGGACCCCAACTGCATTTTCTAGACCAGTCCTCTGGCACACGCGGCCCCAGGTCTCTCGGTGAGGCCGCCGTCTCCCAGCCTCCATGCTGCCAACAGGTGCTCTCTGTCACAGAGCCCAAAACCTCAGGGCGGACTCCATCACGCTGCCCACCCCACGCAGGGGACCCTTCACTTATGCTCCAACGGGGTCCCCTCCTCACTCACGGACACTCTATGGGAAGGGGGAGGGAGGCGCAGTGGGGGCAGAAGACAGCTGTCTTTTCAATAATATTTGTTATACATGGATCAACGTACAGCAAGTCCCCTACATACGAATGAGTTCTATTCCAAGGGCTTGTTCGTCAGTCCAATTTGTTCGTAAGTCCAACAAAGTCAGCCTAGGTACCCAACTAACACAGTCGGCTGTATAGTATGTACTGCCATAGATTTATAATACTTTTCACACAAAGAATACATAGAAAACAAACACAGGATAGTAAAGTGCACAAAAGCACGACCACTTGCAGAGGAACCATGCACAGGACAATGCATGCCAGACACATGAACTAACTTACGTGGCTGGACGTGCGAACACACGTTCACATCTCTGAAAGTTAGAAACCTGAAGGGGACTTACTGTGTTATTATTTTAAAAGCCAGGAATTTGGCTTTTGTTTTTCCAATCCGCAAAGTAAGGGCACCTGCCAGTCTAGCTGGAGGCCAGGCTTATGAGGGACAGGTAGTGCAGAAAAGAGGTTTTCACAGACGTTTTTCACCTGATAGAATTCGGGGAGTCCGTGAACTTGGGTCAGAAAATTACACTTTTATTTTTGCTAACCTGTGGCAAAATTTGTATTTTCTTCCATTGCAAACCCAGACAAAATACCGTCCCTCCCAGGCAGTAGCTGGGATTGGGCACCAGTAAGGATCACAGATGTTTTCATTATAAGCACTGCAAACATATCGAGATATTGTTGACACTCACCATCCATTGAAAGTACGGTATTTATCTGATTATCTAATGTAGTAACAAAGAAGCGCACGTGTTACTATATCACAAATGATACAATTATAATATTTTGATAACGGTATTTCACCGTAACTGATTTCCCTAAGAACCTTATTTGAGGCATTTATATTATTCTGAGGAAGGGGCCATAGCATTCACCAGATAGCCACAGGGGCCCCACAACAAAAAGGCTAAGAAGCCCTGAATAATTCCTTTTTGTGTGGTTCTGACACACCTGTCTGCTGAGGATGGAAAAGTGAGGAAGAGGGGACCACAGTGCAGATCGCGGCCTTTCCCGAGGAACAAGCACCTCCCCTGCCACCTGGCTCCATGCATGGCTTGACCACGGGATGGAGAAGACGGGGTGTCCTCGTCACTTCCGACCTATCCTCCTACCCCGGCCCAAAAGCCTGCCTGCCATCCGTCTGCTCCGTCTGGAAGCCCCTCCGGACCACGCTTCTAGGTCCTCCACGACCCCAAGTAACGATGACTTTCCTGCCTGGCGCACAGTTTCACCAGCACCACAGATAACTTCAGCCTCCAAGAAGACGATACCATCGACATTTCTCGAATGTCTTGTATCCAGTGACCCCCCTCACCCCTCTGACCCAGGTCACATTCTCCCCAACATACCCAGGACTGCCATCACCAGGACCTGCTCTCCGTCCTTGCCTTGGTTTGGGCTCCCCCATGAAGCAGACCCAAGCCTCAACTTTAAGGAAAAGTACTAATTTGTGACTGCTCTCAAGAGGCGCCCGTCAGGGGATGCAGAAGTGAGACGGGAAAGAAAAGAAAATCAGTAAGGACCATGTTTTCCAACCCATGACCCCTGTGGACAGCCAGAGCTTAATTCCACTGGGAAATTGAGAGCCTAGAGCACATTTCAGGGTTACCTGCCCCGACGTGTAAGGAAGCTGGGGTCTCCTGCACCCAGCCCTCACCTGCCGTCAGTGGGGCATTACACCCCAGCATTTGAGACCCAGAAGATCAAACCTTCAGGCAGAGAATGGCAGGCATTTACAGTAAGATGGGAAGTAAAGGAGAGAGAGAGACGGGCCAGGGAACGACAGTCTGTCTGCCTGCCAAGCCCCAAAGAGGGGTTCCTCACGCCCACCGCCGGCCCATCCTTCCAGCCCTGTGTAATGGCCATCACACTCCTTCACTGATCACACCAGGCCCCCCAGGTCAGCAGCCCCTCTGCTCTCTCCCTGCACGATAGGGTCCTTGTAGCTTGTCTCTGGTGCTTTGTTTCCTAGCCCAGCATTTGCACCACCCCCTTGCAAAGATACGGAAACCTCCTTTCCTGTCTTTTTTTCCATAAAATGGTACAAATCCACCAAGGGCGTCCGCCCCGCCTACACTCTCTTGTTCCTTTCTGTACATATCATGCCATCAGCTGGCTTCCTTGTGCCTGCGGCCATGTGGTTAAGACCCACCAGACAAGGAAAAGTATATGATAACACATACGGGTGCCACTATAATTCTTTTGTCAAACACGTCAAGGGAAGCCTCCAAAGTGCCAGGCAGGACAGGGTGGTATGTCTCTCTCAGTAGAGCTTATACTCTTCCCCACCTCCAGGAAATATTTCCCACATATTTCACTGTTCTTAAACTTCCGGGCTTGCTGCCTTGCCATGACTTTGAGCACATGACTTTGTCCCTACTTGACAGAGGAAATTCACACCAGCAAGCAGGAACTGTAAACAGACCCCACAACATCCGTCACGGCCAATCTGTACCATTCTTTCTTCACTATCTCCTGTAAGAATGGCCATACCCCTCCCTCCATAAAAGGGCATCCTCCACATTGCTCCCCCGCCTCACCTGACTCTCCCTGCATTTTCATCCTATCCTCTCTTAGTTTCCATGATCAGCATTTAGACATGCTCCATCTGTCATTTTAAAAGCACTTTTTTTGTTGTTTTTATTTTATATTGGAGTATCGTTGATTTACTCTGTTGTGTTAGTTTCAGATGTACAGCAAAGTGATTCACTTATACATATACATGTATCCACTCTTTTTTAGATTCTTTTCCTGTATACGTCATTACAGAATACCGGGTAGAGTTCTCTGTGCTACATAGAGGTCCTTATTAGTTACCTATTTTATATAGAGTAGTGTGTATATGTCAATCCCAATCTCCCAATTTATCCCTCCCCCCTTACACACCCTGGTAACCATAGGATTATCTTCTATGTCTGTGAGTCTGTTTCTGTTTTGTAAATAAGTTCATTTGTATCATCTTTTTAGATTCCACATATAAGTGATATCATATGGTATTTGTCTCTCTCTGTCTGACTTACTTCACTCAGTATGACAATCTCTAGGTCCATCCATGTTGCCGCAAATAACATTATTTCATTCCTTTTTACGGCTGAGTAATATTCCATTGTACATATGTGCCACATCTTCTTTGCCCATTCCTCTGCTGATGGATATTTAGGTTGATTCTATGTCTTGGCTGCTGTGAACAGTGCTGCAAAGCACTCTCAATTGACCCAGGTGCCAGCTCTGCCCTTTGCCGTTCCCTTATTCTCAGCCTCTTACACTGTTATGTTTTCCTTCCCACTCACCTCTGAATCACTGACACTGACTTTCCTCCCCACCACTCTGCTCACCTGCCTCTTGATTCCCATCAGCAGTGAGCCCTGTGCCCTCGAACCCAGTGGACTGTGCTCAGTCCTTAACCCCCTACAGCTCTCCACACACCTGATCCTATTAGCCACGCCCACATTTGGAGACACGGTTCCTGTCTCTCAGAGCCATCCGTTCCCCTCTCTCCTCTCCGTCCATTTCAGCAGCTCCTTCCCAGCACCTCAGCCTATGTGGGGCCACTGCACAAGGGACTTTCTCGGGTCTCTGCCCCGGGCCCTCTTATCATCTCTCTCCCAACATAATTTCGTCCACTACTCGAACATCCGTGGGCTGATGACTCCCAATCTTTACGCCCAACACATTCCACTCTGCGGAGCTCCAAACCAGTATTAACACAGCTCACCTGGTACCTCCATCTGGGTATGTCCTTGGACCCTCAAAGGCACTCTTCCCAAAACTGAACACACGGCGGCCTCCACCAGTGTCCCGTGGACCATGGAACCCTTCCCTCCCCCCGGAGGCTCAAGAGGAGACTATCCCCAACTCTTCCCTGCCCCCCGCCGCTCATTCACTAAACCTGTCAACTCCACACCTCAAATCATGATCGACTGCCCACTGCTGTCCAGCCCTCTGCCCATGCCCTTGTCCCCAACATCAGCACCACTTACAGGCACGGACGGAGGTGACAGTCACGTAACTGGCTTCCCAAGTCCACGTTTCACCTCTCTGATGCACCCTCTGCACTGCACCTGAGACACTTGTTTTGAAATGAAAGTGCCACTGACATGCTAGAGACCATCCAGCTGCCTCTTACTGTGCTTGTCATCAGGTTACGTCTCCACCCTCCTAACAGCACCTGAAGGGGCCACGGGGTCTGCCTCTGACCCGTCCCTTCCACTTTGTCCCTTTCCTGTGTTCTTTCTAGTCCAGTGACACTAGGTCACGCCATCCTCAGCATGATCACACAGGCTGCTTTACCTCCTAGAATCTACTGTGCAGCCTCCCTCCAACCTGCTAACTCCTACACACAGACTTGGGTTACTTAACTTCTCTTCATTTCTTAAGAGAAGTCATCCTTTTCAGACTGAGTTCAGTCTTTTTAGTATCAGATTCTAAAGCGTCCTGCAGTTTCTATCCTGCAGGAGTAGTTTTAAAAATTCCTTATCTGCCTCTCCTTGCAAAATGTAGCTCTGTGAAAGTGCTGGGCGGGGTGGGTGAACACCTTCTTTTCCTGTGATCGACACGATGCACATGCATTAAATAAATATTTGTGGACTGGCTTCCTAACTGATTGGTTCTAAAACACTTTCCTTGGACATTCTGACTATAAGTATCAAGATCCTTAAAAAATGTCCATTTAAATTGATCCACTAGGGCCTCCCTGGTGGGGCAGTGGTTGAGAGTCCAACTGCTGATGTGAGGGACATGGGTTCGTGCCCTGGTCTGGGAAGATGCCACATGCCGTGGAGTGGCTGGGCCCGTGAGCCATGGCCGCATGAGCCTGCGCGTCCGGAGCCTGTGCTCCACAATGGGAGAGGCCCCCCCCAACCACAAAAAAAAAAAAAAAAAAAAAAAAAAATTGATCCACTAGTCCCATTTCTGGGCATGGAGTCCCCACATTAAAGGCAAAAGCTTACACACACAGAACCCAAAGAACAGCAGCATTTATAGTACAACCAAAACCCTCTTAATATCCCATGGTGAGGAATGAGTAATCAAGCCATGGGACATCCATTAAAAAATAGCCAGCAGCCACTACAAAATGAGCTAACCAAGAGTGTGGAAGAAAATAGAAAAATATGTGAAAAGAAAAAAATTTATATATATATATATATATATATATAATTTCACTGTTAGAAACAATAACAAATAACAGAAAAAAGGTCTATGCATTTAAAACAGACTAAACCAAAATATTAACAGTTATCCGAATTGACCTGAGTGGTGGGCCTCTGGGTAAGATTTTCTTTTGCTTTTGCTATTTTTTTAAAGTCTACAAATTTCCTCTAAATGTCCTCTGGAATGGATGAAGATAATCAACTATTACACTGATTTCTTCAACTGCGCTGAAGAACAGAACATGACGGAAGCCATCTCTTATAGCTGATGACACAAAATCCTGACCTTAACACAGACCAGAAGCGGGGCTATGACACATCCCCTCAGGCTGAAGACACACCAAGCTGTTGGTTTTTACCACCCAGAGTTGTTGAAATTGGGAAGTGACTTATTTAGGCCTTTTACACCTTTAAAGCTGCCAAAGGGCTGCCATTGTTCCCATACAAATCTGTTTTTGAAGGTCACTGTGGTTTTTCTACATCTAACAATTGAAACAAAAAAATAAACTAATCAAGGGCTTCCCTGGTGGCACAGTGGTTGAGAGTCCACCTGCCGATGCAGGGGACACGGGTTCGTGCCCCGGTCCGGGAGGATCCCACATGCCGCGGAGCGGCTGGGCCCGGGAGCCATGGCCGCTGAGCCTGCGCGTCCGGAGCCTGTGCTCCGCAATGGGAGAGGCCACAGCAGTGAGAGGCCCGCGTTCCGCAAAAAATAATAATAATAAAAAAATAAAGTAAGTAAACATTTAAAAAAATAAACTAATCAAGAGTATACTTACCATTGTTAAGAAAGTCTGAATGTCCTTAATCCAGTGGGAAGTGATGAATCTGGCACATGCTCTTTGGGAAAGAGGTAAGTGGAGGAGAAATGCCACGCCGAGACAGTGCAGTCTACACCAATCTGTCACCCCCTCCAGGGTGGGGTAGTTCGTCTCCACCTGCATCAAATAAAGAAGGTGGGTCAGAGGACCGTGGCCAGGACACCGCCTGATGCCTGGGCACCTCAGAGAAGGTGCAGCTGCACCACGTGGGCAGGAACCACATGCTCTTACGCTGTTCACTCTGCATTTTTGCAAAAGTTCTTTTCTTCACGTAACACACACATTGGGTAAGAGAGACAGGGAACCGCCAGCTTAGTAGCAGTTTACATAAAGCAACTTCCTGTGTTCTCAGTTGAGCCCAACTTCACATGAGCTGACCCAGCAGCGCATGACGTCAGGAGCTCACAGGATTCTGCACGGCGGGGCCCCACGTGAAATGCTCCATCTCTTTCACTCAGTGTGCCTCCCTCCACAGGGCCAGACGGGGTGCAACGATGAGAAGCCCCAGAGAGACAAGTGGTTTAGGATCACTTTTGTGATCATTTAAAATGGCATGCCTAGCCATCTACGTTATTTTGCAAAGACACTATTCAAGCAGACCTAAAGGACACGGGAGAAAGATGACGAGCCCTGTTCGTTTCTGAAACTATGAAAGAAAGAGACCAAACTGCGTTTCTCTTTCAAAAGAATCTTCAACCAGGAGTTCCCCAGCACTCAGGTTGTAAACAACACAGTACGTGTACACGTGTGTGTCTGAGTGCATGCGTGCACTTGTGCAGACACACGGGGATGGCTAGTTGGTTGGAGAACAAACCCACACCAGTCTACAGAGTCTCAATGGCCTCTGTCAGCCCTACAGAAGTTGTGGCTTTAGCATCTGTCCAGCCAGGACAGCAGGAAGCTGCTTGCACAAGGCAGTGGACAGAGTGGAGCTTGGATAAGACAGACAGACCTGGTTTCAATCCACACTGTATTTCATCCTTGGGTTTGACGAATCTTCCCTGGACTCTCTGAGCCTCAGTAAGAATCACAGCACCTCCCTTAAACTGCTGTCATGAAGACTTAATGGCACAAGGCATGTAAGAGCCCAGAACATCATAAGGGGGTAAACTCTCACCAAGGGCCACTTTCTTATCTTCCTCTGGAGGGTTGGACATATTTGACTAAAAATGTACTAAGGGAAACATCTGTGAGTAGAGCACCAACCCATCTAACAGCACAATAGATGTTTCAGTAAAGTCAAATAAATAAAATTTCACTGGTGTTTCACGGTAAACTTATCATACCTGTTGGATGTTAGCTTTCTGAGCATCAGTGGTCTTCGATCTGTTTTCTAAAAAGTGATGGTATAAACTCAAAGACAAGGAGCACGAAGTAACACAAAGAACTTGCCGAATGTCAGATCCTTCCGGCCACAGTTGCTTAAGCAGAGAAATAGTTTCACATGCCTGTCACAGAAGGAAATCGTAAAATGTCATGATATTTAGAAAAATATTTTCAATCATAAGTGATCTTACTAGAAGAACTCATAAAGAGAAAAACAGATATGACTACACAAAAGTGTAAACATTTCTGTTTAAAGGAAGAAACAAAATTCAAAATGGGAACATAATAAGTATTTCAATGAAATTATTACAAGTTTATATACATAAAGAGCTCATATAAATCAATAAAACATCTAAGCCTTTACTAAAAGATGAGCAGATAATTCACAAAATACAAATATTAATAAAAGTGTTCAACCATTTTAGTAACAAAAAGGACAATTAGATAGCATATTTTTACTTTCAAATTAGCAAAGTATATTTTAAGGATAATAGCACTGGAAATCATGTGACATGTCATTTCTCTTATCTTTGCAAATCAGAGTATACATAGGCACAGTTACTGCAAAGCTATTTGGCAATACATATGATTATCATTATGTATGTTGATACTTTCTGATTGACTATGCAAGTTCTAGGTATGTAGGTTAGGTAAGTTATACAAAATGTGTACCAAGATTTATGCTCCAAGATGTTCATCACAAAGTTATCTGTTAAAGCCAATTTTCAAACAATTTAAATGTTCAGCATTAGAGAAATATTAGGCATCCAGTAAAAATAAAATTTGTGAATAATTTTTCTGATAATTGGAAAAAGTGGTGTATTAAAGTCTGTTATTAATATGTTTGTCTGTTAATATGATTATAGTGATATTAATTTCCTGGTTCAACAAACGTACCTTGGTTACATCAGTTGTTAACACTGGGGGCAGAAGCTGGGTGAGAGGTATATGAGAACTCTGAACTATGTTTGCATTTTCTTAGTAATTAAACAATTCATTCAAATAAAAAGTGTTTTAAAAGTTTCAGTACCTCTTCCATCATATTTTTCCATTTTAAATTTCCAAAAAGATGTCCTAATGCTAAAACTCTACATTCCTCCAGTTGCTTAATCAGGGTTTTATAAGCATTCTCAATGTTCTTTTCATTCTGCAAAAGGAAGGCAAGGCACATAAATCGTCATAAATAATATATCACACTACTTTCCAACTAAAGAAAATCATATATTGAAGATAATATTGTTACAATATATTTCTAAATAAAAAAAATAATAATACAGATCATCAACAATGCTTTTAAAGCCTGCCTGTCTTCGCCAAATTAATTTTTGTCAAGGTCCATTTTATTTTTTAACAACTTCATGAAGGTATAATTAACATGACACAAAATCCACTCACTTTAAGGGTACAATTCAATGGCTTTGGGTAAATTTACAGAGTTGCGCAACCATTGCCATAATCTAATTTTAGAACATTTTCAATATCTCAAAAAGAAACAATTTACCCATTTAATGCACTGGATTTTATTAGAAAAAAATTCAGACAGACAGAGAGAATAGCATAACCGCCTTCCCCAGGTAATGAACATCCAGCAACAGCCATTATCAACCGCATGGCATTTTTATACACATTTCACACAGTCCTCAAATTGATCAATGAAATCACCTCTTTAAGGTGAGTGCTCAATAAACTAGGAAATAAATTATTTTACCAGAAATAAAATCCTCCATTAAAAAATGTTTTTCTTGAGGAAAGACCAGCAAGGAAGTTTGTAGGGACTCTTCAAACACAGATTCAGAAATTGCTCTAACAGAATAAAAAATGAAATGAACGGATTACAGGACCTCCTGTCACTATAAAAAATAATTTTTTAATTAAAAAAAAAAATACACACACAAGGCTGTTGCTACTCACAGCAGGCAACCAGAGTTGGAAATAGTTTAATGACTGAAGTTCTAACGAAAGCAAAGTAAACTATCTTATTGGATTTTGTGATAACCATCCAGATGTTGCCAGTGCCACGAGGGGTGTGACCCTCAACTCAAAAAAGTGAAAGTGTTAACTGACACAAAAATCATTTTGATGATATATAGAATTGTCTTCACATTCTAAATTCACTATAAGTAGTGAAAATTAGACAGAAACCAAATTTATTTCTAAAATTGGTGAGCATTTTTGAACTCCCAAACGTTCAATACAGTCATTACCAATTATACCAATACAGCAAAATAATAAGATCACAGGATTAAAATTCTAAATAGTTTGAAAATTCTATTAATGATTTAATGCTAAGAAATAATTTTATTTCAGGGACCTCCCTGGCGGTCCAGTGATTAAGACTCCATGCTTCCGATGCAGGGGGCACAGGCTGGATCCCTGGTCGGGGAACCAAGATCCTATGCGCCATGCAGTACGGCCAAAATATTTTTTAAAAATTTTTTTAAAAATTGTATTTCATCAACTTTCTCCATTGTTTTCTCATGAAAAGCTACCATATTCACCATCATTTCACTAGTATGTGGACGCGTGTCTGGCCTTCCTAAGTGGAGGTGGAACCCCATGCCACACTTAAGCACAGAAGGGCTGGGGTCAGGCTGCCTCTTTTAAAATCCAGGCTGTATTATTGGATTTGGAATTGACAATGGGCAGATTATTTGTTCAAGTATCTATTTCATCATCTGCAAAACACAGACAACACTAACACCTCCCTCACAGGGTCACTGTGAAGGTTAAATAAAATGACTCATGGGAAGTACCAAGCACTATTGTTATGACAACAACTGCCCAATAAATGACTGCATTTTTGTTTCATTATTATCATTTCTATTTTTCTATACCTCCCTGTTAAACCTATGATAATTTCCATAAAAGACGGAGAAATAAAACTGAGTCAAGTAATGTAGAAAATTTCTCGAAATTCTAAAAGTTTGTCTTTTAGGTGCAAACTACCTTCTGGAAAAACATCTGGATTTTGTACTTGCTCGGCATAAAGTACGCATAAAGTCGAAGGACATCGGATGCTTGGCCCGAGAAGAGCACGGCATTAACCTTCATTGCCCAGGACTGAATGATTAAAAAGTTGAAAAGGTGTACTTGTAGACGGCTCAGGCTTTCATCGGCAACGATCAGAAAATATGGGTAACTGTCTTCCAAGAAAGTTTTCCACTCTTGTGAGAAGCACCCAGAAAAGTCCGTTCGAACATCAATGTCGGTATTATGCTCAAGGTGGAGAATCAACGCTGTTCTCAGAGGAAGAAATTCAGGGATGTCGTTGTATGCATGCTCAGCATCCTGTGGGGTAGACAATTTTGAAATCATTATTTAGCTGTCTACTAGTTTTGTTGGTTAACACATACCATGAGAGTCATTAAAGAAATAGGTTCCAACACAGTTGTATTCTGTTTTATAGTCAGAACATAGACCCTTGATCCTTGACTGTCATTTTGCAAATACAGGCCACACATCACAATTTGGGTTTAAATACATGTGTCCCCTTGAACTCACACTTTCCCTTCCCATTCTAATTCTTCTCTCCAATCTCACTTCAAAAAGAAAAAGGAGGGCTTCCCTGGTGGCACAGTGGTTGAGTCCGCCTGCCGATGCAGGGGACGCAGGTTCGTGCCCTGGTCTGGGAAGATCCCACATGCCGCGGAGCGGCTGGGCCCGTGAGCCATGGCCGCTGAGCCTGTGCTCCGCAGAGGGAGAGGCCACAACAGTGAGAGGCCCGCATACCACAAAAAAAAAAAAAAAAAAAAAAAAGAAAAAGGAAAGAAAAATATGTAAAAGCAAACGGTAGCTATAAAGCATCCATAGGAAAAGCTGGGGTGGATCGCTCTGCAGGGACAGTCCCAGGTCACCCGGAAGTTGCACTGGTTTTTATCAAAAGCCCACAATTCATGCACTGCTTGCAGGCAGTCAGCGAGGTTCAAATATCTAACAATAATATGGATCACAAAAGAACTGAACAGACATGCACCAAAACCTCCAAGAATAACACACTGGTTTCCTTTAGGGATAGAATGAGGAGGAGGTGGTGCTATGATACATACATGTATTTGAAACTGTTAAAATTTCATTAGTTATATGCACATTCAAAACAAGGAAGACCAGGTATCTTCCCTTGGATGTATTTACTGCAGAGCAAATAAGAACGAAGCAACATTGGTGAGTTTGATCCACCTCTGGGCTCAAACAAACTGTTTTTTGGGGGGTTTTTTTTTGGTTTTTCTTTAGTTGCTGGGAGTAGGAGTTTACTAATTTGTTTATTTATTTTTGCTGTGTTGGGTCTTCGTTTCTGTGCGAGGGCTTTCTCTAGTTGTGGCAAGCGGGGGCCGCTCTTCGTCGCAGTGCAGGGGCCTCTCACTATCGCAGCCTCTCCCGTTGCAGAGCACAGGCTCCAGACGCACAGGCTCAGTAGCTGTGGCTCACGGGCCTAGTTGCTCCACGGCACGTGGGATCCTCCCAGACAAGGGCTCGAACCCACGTCCCCCACATTAGCAGGCAGACTCTCAACCACTGCACCACCAGGAAAGCCCCCACAAACTGTTGAGTTTTGATGACAGAGGTGGACCTACTTGGAGTTGGGAGATTAGAACCCAGAGATCAGCTCGGTCGCTTCCAAGGACACCCGTCCCCCTCCTCCAGGGTCCTGTGTGTCCTCACAGGAAAGCTCCATGAGGGCAAATAAAAAATAATCCTCTACAAATGACCCAATTTCATTCCTTTTTATGGCTGAGTAATATTCCATTGTATATATGTACATCTTCTTTCTCCATTCATCTGTGACAGACATTTACGTTGACCTGGCTATTGTAAATAGTGCTGCAATGAACACTGGGCTGCATGTTTCTTTTTGAACTGGGTCATCTCTAGAGATGTGGATGCATCTAGAGACTGTCATACAGAGTGAAGTAAGTCAGAAAGAGAAAAACAAATATCGTATATTAACGCATATATGTGGAACCTAGAAAAATGGTACAGATGAACCGGTTTGCAGGGCAGAAATAGAGACAAAGAAATAGAAACAAACGTATGGACACCAAGGGGGGAAAGCGGGGAGTGGGAAGAATTGGGAAATTGGGATTGATATATATACACTAGTACGTATAAAACAGATAAATAGTGAGAACCTGCTGTATAGCAGAGAGAACTCCACTTCACTTTGCTGTACAACAGAAACTAACACAACATTGTAAAACAACTATACCCCAATAAAAATAATAATAATAATCCTCAATGTAGTAATTTCTGAATACTGGGATCCTGGGTCACTTTTTTTTCTGTTCTTCCCTTTAAATTTTTTTTTTTTTTTCTTACAGTACGCGGGCCTCTCACTGTCGTGGCCTCTCCCGTTGCGGAGCACAGGCTCCATACGCACGGGCTCATTGGCCATGGCTCACAGGCCCAGCCGCTCCGCGGCATGTGGGATCCTCCTGGACCGGGGCATGAACCCGCGTCCCCTGCATCGGCAGGCGGACTCTCAACCACTGCGCCACCAGGGAAGCCCCTTCCCTTTAAATTTGCTGAATTGTTATAGATCGACTTCACTTTGAAATAAGAAAAAAAAAACGACTTATAAAACAATGTCATTGTAGTCTTAGTTCTCAAATCATAGAAAAGAACCCAACTGTCACATTACCTTGAAGAAAACGACGGCAAACTGTCCTCCTTTATTAATTAGATCCACAAGGTAGCATTCAACCAGGTAAAAGAAGTGCAGGCCCTGTTCAGGCTGCAAGGATTTCTCACAGATGTATGTCATCAGCAGTGAGTCTCCATCAATCAGAAAAAACTCAGACTCAACAAAATCATTGAACAGACTGTCATAACTAAAATACAAACAGTGAAAATGAAAAATTACACGAAGATGAAATCAGGCCCAAAAGGCAGCAGCTTCATTATCATTATTATCTTCATCATCATTATCATCAGTAGCTTGATTTACTGAGTAATTCTTTCATGGGGGTCTCCACACTGACTTGCCAAAGACACCCACAAGCATGAGTGTCCTTCACAGGAAGAATCAACGTCACCTCCGCTCAACAGGGAAGGAAACTGAGGCTCGAAAAGAGAGCACGTTATCTAAGGCCAAAATGTGGGCTGGACTCAGGGACTGAATACCTATATCTGAATATAGACCTTCCTGCTTCATCAATCTCATCCTTTCTAAAGAAGATGTGGCACATATATACAATGGAATATTACTCAGCCATAAAAAGAAATGAAATTGAGTTATTTGTAGTGAGGTGGATGGACCTAGAGTCTGTCATACAGAGTGAAGTAAGTCAGAAAGAGAAAAACAAATACCGTATGCTAACACATATATATGGAATCTAAAAAAAAAAGTCATGAAGAACCTAGGGGCAAGACGGGAATAAAGAATAAAGACACAGACCTACTAGAGAATGGACTTGAGGTTACGGGGAGGGGGAAGGGTAAGCTGTGACAAAGTGAGAGGGTGGCATGGACATATATGCACTACCAAACATAAGGTAGATTAGCTAGTGGGAAGCAGCCGCATAGCACAGGGAGATCAGCTCGGTGCTTAGTGACCACCTAGAGGGGTGGGATAGGGAGGGTGGGAGGGAGGGAGATGCAAGAGGGAAGAGATATGGGAACATATGTATATGTATAACTGATTCACTTTGTTATAAAGCAGAAACTAACACACCATTGTAAAGCAATTATACTCCAATAAAGATGTTTAAAAAAAAATACATGGAAATTGTAAGCATGATTTCGAGAAGATTGAATAAATGCTCTCAAATACGGGGGAAAAAAAATCTCATCCTTTCATAAAACGATGGGTTCACTGACAGCCATGGACAATAAAGCAAGAGAAGACTGTTTCCACTGACCATCAAACAGCTCTAAAAGTTCTGTGTTCAACAATCTCATATATATATATAAAATACCATAATACATATACTAAGATAAATGATAAATAGATTAGATATATGGAGAGATGGAAGGATGGATGGATGGATAGATAGATAATAGACAGATGGTAGATGATAGATGAAAGATAGATAATCACTTTAAGGCAACCCGATACACAGGGAATAAGACGTAGAAGTTTGTATCTCTTGATTTATTACGACAACACGCACTCAGCTTCTGCCATTTGATCCAAAATCAACTGTGACATATTCTCTAAAAGCCTCAGGTACTTTTCTAAACCTAAAAAAAGAGAGAGAGAAAGAGAATGAATTATTTTCAATCAATTCTTTTTAAAAGAGCTATCATTTACAAATTATTTGAGAAAGAAAAAACAGTCATAAAGTTAATTCTATTACATCTGTGTAGCTTGCAGAATCATTATTTTACAATTTATAAATATTTTAAATTGAAAATTACCCATTCTTGCCACGTGCCTCCAACCTGATGGAAAATATTAAATATAGCAGATATCCTTTACTGTGGTACCTCTAAGTGGCAGATGCTAATGAAAATGGCAGACCTACAAAGAAAGAAAAATTGGAAATGAATTATTCCATCAACAAACAGTACTGAATGACTATTGTCTGTTAAACAAAACTTTAGGCACTGGGAATACAAGAATAAACAAAAGTCAAAATGCTGTCAGTTCCCACGAAACTTAAAATTTACCAGGAAAGATAAATATCAATCAGATAATCATAGGAACAAGAGAACATTGCAAATGTGACAAAGTCAAAAGGTCAGTGGAATCTTCCCTAAAGAAGCAATGCTTGAGCTGAGTTCTGAAGAATAAGATGAGAATTAAACAAACGGGTGGGGTGGGTAGCACTGCAGGCAGAGAGAACCCAGAACACCTGGCGCAAAAGCCTTGTGGCAGGAAAGTGTGTGGATGGTTCTAGGTCCTGAGAAGAAGCCAGCCGCGCTGGAGTGCAGAAACACAAAGTCATGCAGAGCCTCTGATCGCATGTTTGTCATCCTAAAATCCACTGATGGATTTTAAGCAGGTAGTAATGTGATTGACTTTGCATCTTGGAAGATTACTCTGGCTCCAGTACAGAGAATAGATGGGGTGAAGCAAAGACCCCGCTAGTGAGGTGGAGAGAAAGCCACTGTTCTAGAGCAATGGTAGTAGCTGCATGTAGTGCAGCTGGACAGTAGTTTGAGGCACATGTTAATCTCAGATACTCAGAAGGTGAGTCTGACATGATGAGGAAATGGATCAGCTACGGACAGAGAAGAGAAGCCCCTTTAGGATTCTACCTGATGCAATCGGATGCAAGGCGAGGCTGCTCCCTGGGCTGGAAACCTTGGGATGCGGCCAACGTCAGGGAAAGATCCTAAGTTCATTTGTGGTCAGCCTGGGTTCGACTTACTGTGGGATATGTCCTGTAAGTAATTAAATGTACAGGTCTAGAGATCAAACACGAGGTCTGGGCTAGACCTCAGTGTGAGAGCAGTTTCAGTATTATGGTTATTAAGTGAGGCCACCAGTGTGGATAAAGTCGCTTGGACAGAGAGACACAGAAACATTAAAGACAGTATCAGATACACGAGATGAGATGGGTTAAATCACAGCATCCCAGAGGTTCACGGGTGCCCTTAACGTCTCAGGACTTTTTTTTTTTAAATCGTACTCCTAGGACAAAATGAATACCTAATAGTTCACGTATTAAGCAGTGAACTCCAAACAAATTAAGTCCTAACACCTTCATTTGAAAATATAATGCACATAAACTGAAAGAGATAATACAGGTTTTGAAATTAACTAACAATGACTAATGGGACATGAGTGCATGCTGGGCACTGGGCAGATTTTCAACCACAGCTATGTTGGCAGAATAAAGCCTCCTTCATCTGACAGGTAAGGGACTCCCGGCCTGTTACCCCACCCTCACACATCCTACAGGAAGCTTTCCATATTAAACTTTACCCCAAACTGGTTCTCACCTAAACATCACACAGAATCCACAATCATTATGCTCAGTTCTCTCTCATGTAAGGGAGAAACATGCTAAGGAAAATAAAACCAGCTACCTATCATAATAACCACGAGTGAATATGTATAAAAAATTAGAATCGCTCGACATTTAAGGGGGAAGAAAAGAAAAAATAAGAAGCCAGAAGAACAAACATGATTCAAGGACAGAACAGTCCTTAAAAAAAAAAAAAACTCCAGTTAGAGTTCTCAATAATGACAGTGACAATAACTAGTAAAATAATAACAGGTTGCTACAGCAAAACAAAAAAAGTAAATGCTCATAAAAATTTTAAATACAATTTCAGAAAAATAATTTATGCACAGAACAATGGAATGGGCATGCTGACATTTCAAGTTAGCGATCTAGGGGTTAAAATCCAGGAAATTTCGTAGAGGAGAGAAGAGAAAATCAAAGAGATGGAAAATAGAAAAATTACTAAAATATGGAGGAGAGATCAACAAGTTCTAAGTCCATTTCACAGTAATTCCAGTCACAGAGAAGTACGATTGCAAAGTGGGGTGGGGATAAATTAAAAGTAATCAAAGATATAATAGTTAGCATAACATAACGATATTAGGCCAGAGTTAAAGAAAAATATACTTTTTTAGATTGAAAATTTTTTCCAAGAACTGAGCAGAAATCATGGCAGAAGAGAAAACCATGCTTAGACACAGCTTGTGAAAAGCGAAGAGCTCCAGGAATACAGAGAAAGACGGAAGCACCACAAAGAGGTGTAAGGCAGACAGGCAGATGGAGCAGAGAGAACACAGGCGCTGCCAGCAGGACGCCGGGCTTCTCACCCCAGTTGTGAACATACTACAGTTGAGGTAAGTTACTTTCTCTGTCTCACTTCACTTATCCACTCATCGGACAATCATATTACTCCCCCTGGCTGTGTTTTCAAGCCATTTAAAAGTATGAGCTGATGCACACAAGTGGATTAAAATAGTACCTGGCACACAGATACAACACATCAAAATGAGAGCACTACTGGATGTCTTGATAAAAGAAAAGAATACTTTCAAAGTTCTGACAGGAAAATGTTTTGAACTAAGAATTCTGTATCCAAACAGTCATTCAATTCATCAGGAGGGGGAAAAGACAGTACTACTAGACATTTAAGAAGTCAGGGGCTTCCCTGGTGGCGCAGTGGTTAAGAATCCGCCTGCTAATGCAGGGGACAGGGGTTCGAGCCCTGGTCGGGGAAGATCCCACATGCCGCGGAGCAGCTAAGCCCGTGCGCCACAACTACTGAGCCTGCGCGCCACAACTACTGAAGCCCACGTGCCTAGCACCCGTGCTCCGCAACAAGAGAAGCCACCGCAACTAGAGAAAGCCCACACGCAGCAACGAAGACCCAATGCAGCCAATTAAAAAAATTAATTAATTAAAAATTTTTTTAAAAGCAGTCGGAAACCTCACCAACTACTCATCTTAAATGAAAATTTATTTTAAAAGATAGTACAGAAAATTGAAGAAAAAAGATAAAGAGGACAATCAAGAAACAGTGAAATTATGTACGGTCCACAAGAATTAAAGGAAGCTAAAAAGAAAAATAAGGGGCTACATGACACTTTGAATTTTGAGAAGTATCCATTTCAAGCAGTAGTCTTAATGGTATAGAACTATGTTTCCCAGGCAAAGATAAAGACTTCCTACAATTGTACATAATCATAATTTTGTAAGTGCTGCTAACTGGTTTTCCATTTTTGAGTCAAAATAGAAACAAATCACAAGAATTAAAGTCATGAAATACTATAAATTGTGACAAAGACTGATAGTAGGAAATTCATACAATTAGCCAAATAGGGAGGTTCATACATGGGGAGGCTTCATTTCTGTGAGGCCGGGGGTAACCCAGCTAACAAACAGAGACAAAAATGTAGAACTGGGTGGTTCCAGTTTACAGCTTCTAGTAAACAAATCGATCTTGGCATTTTTAGGTGGGGACACAACAAAAATAGAGACAAAGAGCTGTTTCCATACAGAACTACACCAGTGTGGAAATACTCCAGCGGGGGTGGGGGTGGGGTGGGGGTGGATCTTAAACCTGAATTTGATCAAAACTCTGGTAGCAAGAACTGTCACTTATAAATTTAGAAAACAGAAGAACATCTTAAATGTTAAAATATGCCAAGAGGACTACAAGAATCACTACAAGACAAGATTTAAAAAAACAACAACCGGGGCTTCCCTGGTGGCACAGTGGTTGAGAGTCCGCCTGCTGATGCAGGGGATGCGGGTTCGTGCCCTGGTCCGGGAGGCTCCCACATGCCGCAGAACAGCTGGGCCCGTGAGCCATGGCTGCTGAGCCTGCGCGTCCGGAGCCTGTGCTCCGCAACGGGAGAGACCACAACACTGAGAGGCCTGCGTACCACAAAAATAAATAAATAAATAAAATAAATAAATGAATAAATAAAAACAACCCGGCTTCCCTGGTGGCACAGTGGTTAAGAATCTGCCTGCCAATGCAGGGCACACGGGTTCGAGCCCTGGTCCGGGGGTATCCCACATGCCGTGGAGCAACTAAGCCTGTGCGCCACAACTGCTGAGCCTGCGCTCTAGAGCTCACAAGCCACAACTACTGAGCCCACGTGCCTAGAGCCCGTGCTCCGCAACAAGAGAAGCCACTGCAATGAGAAGCCTGCGCACCGCAAGAAAGAGTAGCCCCCGCTCGCAGCAACTAGAGAATGCCCGCGCGCAGCAACGAAGGCGCAACGAAGACAAAAATAAATAAATAAATTTGAAAAAAACAAAAACAAAAACAAAACCCACCACCAATATAAACTTTCAAACAAAAACCCCCAGCTTATTAAGAAATAAATTGCAAGAGGATGAAAGAGATGGTAACAAACTTCCAAACACAGTAGTGTCAGAACCTTGTTTGAGTTCTGATTTTAAAATCTTAAATCGAAAGAAGGGGAAGAAGAGAGGAATCGTGGACTACACGTTGGAGGAGAGACAGCCAGAGCCAGAGAACACGGTCCAGGCGATGGTGGAGCACGCAAGAGGACCGCTCCTGAAACAAGACCTGGAGAGGAGCCAACCCGCCGTGGGCAGGACTTGAGGGTGGCCTCTGAGACCCCAGCCTCCCCGGTGTGCCCCGCCCCCCATAACCTGTCCCCTCGGCGTGGGCAGGACCTGTGACTTTAGTGGGACAGCGTCTCCCCTCATGGGGGTACATCTGCGAGACTATCATACACAGGAAAAAGGAGATTCTCCTGCTGGC